ATACCATAAAAATCCTAGAGGAAAACCTAGGTAGTACCATTCAGGACATAGGCATGGGCAAAGACTTCATGTCTAAAACACCAAAAGCAATGGCAGCAAAAGCCAAAATTGACAAATGGGATCTCATTAAACTAAAGAGCTTCTGCACAGCAAAAGAAACTACCATCACAGTGAACAGGCAACCTACAGAATGGGAGAAAATTTTTGCAATCTACTCATCTGACAAAGGGCTAATATCCAGAACCTACAAAGAACTCAAACAAATTTACAAGAAAAAAACAAACAACCCCATCAAAAAGTGGGCAAAGGATATGAACAGACATTTCTCAAAAGAAGACATTCATACAGCCAACAGACACATGAAAAAATGCTCATCATCACTCACCATCAGAGAAATGCAAATCAAAACCACAATGAGATACCATCTCACGCCAGTTAGAATGGCGATCATTAAAAAGTCAGGAAACAACAGATGCTGGAGAGGATGTGGCGAAATAGGAACACTTTTACACTGTTGGTGGGACTGTAAACTAGTTCAACCATTATGGAAAACAGTATGGCGATTCCTCAAGGATCTAGAACTAGATGTACCATATGACCCAGCCATCCCATTACTGGGTATATATCCAAAGGATTATAAATTATGCTGCTATAAAGACACATGCACACGTATGTTTATTGCAGCACTATTCACAATAGCAAAGACTTGGAATCAACCCAAATGTCCATCAGTGGCAGACTGGATTAAGAAAATGTGGCATATATACACCATGGAATATTATGCAGCCATAAAAAAGGATGAGTTTGTGTCCTTTGTAGGGATATGGATGCAGCTGGAAACCATCATTCTTAGCAAACTATCACAAGAACTGAAAACCAAACACCGCATGTTCTCACTCATAGGTGGGAAATGAACAATGAGATCACTTGGACTCGGGAAGGGGAACATCACACACCGGGGCCTATCATGGGGAGGGGGGAGGGGGGAGGGATTGCATTGGGAGTTATACCTGATGTAAATGACGAGTTGATGGGTGCAGCACACCAACATGGCACAAGTATACATATGTAACAAACCTGCACGTTATGCACATGTACCCTACAACTTAAAGTATAATAATAAATAAATAAATAAATAAGAAATAATAAAATATATTTCAAAATATTCTATAATCCAGATTATTAAAAATACATACATATTTTTCTAAATTTGGGGATTGTTTTCCTATTTTTCTGTCTATAATATTTTAAATGTGTAAATACAGCTTCTATCTGTTAATATAGCTTTAATACATTTTTATATATTCAGATAATAATACATACAAGTGAAGACTGCTCTTGTCCTCCACTATTGGTTCTGTCCCCTTCCATTGTGACAGAATTTTAGTGGGGCACATGGCTGCTCAGAAAAAGCCTCCACTTCTTTGACACATTTTGAGTTAGATGTGACTAAATTCTAACCACTGGAATGTGAGCAAAACATCTTACTCTTAAATGACTGGATATCTTCTCTCCAAATCTCTTTCCCTTTACAGGACAACTGGGAAATAAAAGCAACTGGAAGAATAATTTTGTATCCAGGCATGGAAGCCACACGCTAAGGATGGCAGAGTCACCCTGCCAGCCCTCGACAGCTTACCTCCCAACTGCTATGTGACAGTAAAATACATGTTTAGCCTGTATGTTTGTCATACTGGCCCAGCCTGTACCCCAACTTATACAACGCCACCAAGTAATATGACAAATGAATGACATTTGTTGAGCTCTCATTATATGTCAATAAATAATTTATATGGACTGTATCATTAATCCCAACAACTCCATGAGATTAAATATCTTGGCCAGATCCTAAAGCTGGCAATTGGCAGAACCAAGGTAAAATAGCCTTAGGGATTTTTCAGAGGGATATGCTATAATACTCCATTTGAAATATTAAGTGTTTTCTTCAGTTAGAAGACCATGAAGAAAAAAATCAGTGAAAATTTACTTTCTGTATCATTCTTAGCAATTATCTCAATGGATATACAAACAAACCATTTCTGTGGTATCAACAGAAATGGGAGGTTTTAAATTATGAATGTATATTATATGTTAAAATTTCCTTCCACTCTTTTCTTTTTGGGAAAAAAAATCAAATGGAAACATCATGAGTAGGTAATTGTTGCTGGCGGAGCTTTTGTTTCTTATAAATTATATCTTTTATAAAAAGAGCATTAGCATAATCAGATATACTGACCTTGTTTACGTGGGGAATCTGCTTATTTTTTCAAGGTACAAATAAGGACAAAAAATGCTATTAACATATGTTCTAAAGCATACAAGAAGGTGTTTCAAATTTCAGAGTTGCATCCTATTTAATAGTTGTGTAACCTAAAACAAAATTTTAATCTTCTCTCAATTATTTTACCCACCTTATGGATGAGCATATACAACTGATGGACATATGTATTCTCCAAATGGTTCAGTAATGGAATAATCTAATAAAAGACATCTTAAAAGTCTAATGCATCATGGACAATAGTCCTAAGCAACCCTATTCACTCGTGATCTTTAACAGAAGACAGGCAGGTAACCTGGGAAAAATCTCACATTTGTAAAGTTGAAGCACTGAATGTATTCAATAATATTAGCAACTTTCTGTGGGCTACTATTTTAGGATACAATAAAGCAATTTTCACAAAATTGCAAAACTATATTACTATTTTATTTTATTTTTGAGACAGGGTCTCACTCTGAAGCCCAGGCTGGAGTGCAGTGGCACAATCACAAAAAATATATTACTTTAGCTATGGTACCTGTGTTGGTTCTTGGCCTTCATGTAAAAAGCTAATTGTACCCTGTGAAGTCAGTAAAAAATGAATGTAATTTGTAATTTGAAGAACTTTCATTTCTACAATATTAAATTTCAACCTGGAGCCCTGCTAAACTCCTGTGTTTATTCAACTTCTGGCCCTCACCATGTATTCAACACCCCCAATCTCAGCTCAAAGTTCACTCTAAACTCTGACATTCTTCCTCAAAAGGAATGAGGCAATATGGAATCATTTGTCTGTGTAAGATGATACTCTTTGTGTGCCCTAGTACTTAAATTCTTTTTCCAATAATGAATTCTGCTCTAACACTCTTCCCACCACCCCAGTTATCTAACATATTATTCCTTAATTTGGAATTTTTCTGTCACCATAAAGAGGTATGTATCCCATAAACAGAAAACTAGAGAGATTTTCTTTCATCTTTTCCATTCTATTTTGTTATGTTAATTCAGACAGAGTCATTGATTCATTCATCAATAGCTATACTCTTCTTAGTAATGTATTCTTCATAAAGCATAATAGAAACCAGTTAGACTTCTTTTTGGTTAATGAGTCATTGCAAAAAAGCAGATTCAGAAAGAAAAGTTTCACATATTAACACCGAAAGGAACAATGAGGCCAGCCAAGCAAGTTGTTTTTTGAGGCTGGGGAAGCACTCACAGAGTAAGGGAGATGCTCCCAAGAGCAGCTTATTTTTAATCTCCACCTGTTGATAAAAACAGTCATGTAATTTCTCACCAGAACCTGTAATTTCTTTTTTTTTCTCATTATGATTAAATAAAATATTTGCTCTCAATTTAAATAGTGTCCAAATGAAAATTAACAAAGAAGATTTGGTGGTGCTTCCAAATAAACTCCATGACTTTCACAGAGGCTCACTTACTACCTACACACTTTCATATTCTAATTTAGTTTCCCACAGTGAATCACTACAGATCCCAAGCATCGGCACACAATAACTTCCAAGTTTCTTTGCACCATCAGCAATTGAGATTTGTTTTTATCAACAGAGTGTCAGTTCTCTGAGGAGAGGAATACTGTTTCTTTATTTATCTTTGGCAGCCCGCACAGTGTCTGGGACATATTACCTGCTCAACGTAATACATTGACTAGAATTAAATCTGATCATTGTTATTCGCAGGGAACACCTTTCATTTCCAAACATATTCCCCTTATCTCACAGACACTTAGGTTTGTTCAACACACTCTATAGTTGTTTTATAAAGAGATTCTGGTATAATTTTTTGAAGTATATATGTATGTGGTTTCCTTAAGAATTTCTATTAATACATGAAGTAACCACACATTCCATTTTCTCATACATATTTGCATGATAAATAGTCATATATTATACATCAAGATGCTTTTATACCACTTTATCTCATTGACTCATCACATTTTTGGAAAATAAAAGGCCTCATTTCATCACTAACAATCCAAGATGAGAATACTTTCAAATGTATTATTTACATTGAAATGAAAGTAGTGAGGCCCTTAAAAAATTTAATTTTTAATAAATCTTACAGAACCTATACATGTAAATGCTCTTACCCATGAAAAATAATCTAGTTAAGATGCCATACAAATATTTATATATTGCTGTCACTCAGACATCGTTTTAGAGTGACTTTCATAGCCAATTCATAAGTCACAAGAAAAATCATCTTTTATAGAGTCTTCTTATCTTGCACCAAAACCGTTATTAGTGATCTCAATGACTAACTCTAATCTCTAGACACGCCTGTAAACACTTTTCAAATAATTGTTACCCTCAAAGAATAAAGATATGTTTTCACTGAGGATATTCAAAAGAATCCATCACAGGAGTTCAAGTCACCACTGTATGAGGGATTATTAAATATATTCTGAAGAATGGAAACATTATAATAGTAAGTACATGACTTCCCTACTTAAATTTATGGAGAGTATACATGACACGCAGACTCATTTAAGTGAGACCTACGTATCAACTGCAAAGTGTGCTGAGAAAGTGTCCTTAGTTTTTAAGGATGGCATTTCTTGTTCACAGTAACTAGCAGGACCAAAGGTGTCTCTCAGAATTTCACCACCAGACCCACATGAGAAATCACATCCCATTTGTAATATAGAGATATAGTTTCCTAGAAGATAGAACTGCATGTGAATTAATGAAAAGATTAGGAAATCTCTTCGGTGGATTTTACTCACATCAACAAGCTGATTGACTCCACTTGCTGTTTTTGCCAGTGTGACAAGGTCTTCTTGCATCTTATCCACCCATGACTTGATACTGCAGAAATCAGAAAAGATTATGTTCTATCAGATCTCTGGCAAATAAAAGTCACACTCTGATATTTTATATCCATGCTACAGATAATTCATTAAAATGCCCTTAAATTATTCTCCCTCCTAGCACCGACGATGTCCACCCTTCCACTCCAGCTTTAAATTGCAAAAGCGCTGAATCTTTAGTGTGCAGGCTTTCAGGATGCTGAAATGCCTCCAAATCAAAAGAGAAAAATGACATTGATGTCTTGTCCAATGAGAGTAAACAATTTGCTTATTTTGTATTAAAATTCCATTAAATAGCTATTAAATATTCTAAACTACAAACTTTATCTTTTAGCTTCCAAGTCTTCTGAATATAATGGTAAGATTATACTAAATGCAGACCATTTGTAAAATGCAAGAAAAATTCCACCAGCCAGGTAGAACATTCAACAGTTTGATGCATTCCCTTCTAGTCTTTTAAAATTCCTTCACATAGTTGAAAGCATGTTATATAAAATTCATATATCTTTTAGCTTTATATCATACAATATGTACTTTCCCATGGCATTACAAACATTTTGTAAGCATTTTATTTTTAATGGCCACTTAATATTCCATTATCTCTATATTCCATAATATACTTGACCATCCTCCTTTTTAAAGGGAAATTTAAGAAACCATCAGCTTTTAACCACTACATACTACACTATCACAAATATCTTAGAGCATAAAGCTTAAGAATATTTTATTTCCAGTCTGGGCATTGTGGCTCACACCTGTAATCCTAGCATTTTGGGAGGCTGAGGCGGGTGGATCACGAGGTCAGGAGATCGAGACCATCCTGGCTAACACGGTGAAACCCTGTCTCTACTAAAAATACAAAAAATTAGACAGGCATGGTGGCCGGTGCCTGTAGTCCCAACTACTCGGGAGGCTGAGGCAGGAGAATGGCATGAACCCCGGAGGTGGATTCATGGATTCACGGATTGCAGTGAGCCCAGATCACGCCACTGCTCTCCAGCCTGGGCAACAGAGCGAGACCCGTCTCAAAAAAAAAAAAAAAAAAAAGAATATTTCCTTAGCGAGGCTCTTAGATTTGGAATTACTAGATCCAATTAGATTTGGAATTACTGGATCCAAGTAATTACTGGAATTACTAGATCCAAATTTTAAAGCAGTAGTTTTGATCATTACAATTATAATTGAAGGATTTAAGTTCAAATCTTTCTCAGGTATACAATGTACATCTTAGATGACCATTATGCAATGGACATCTTAAAATATGTGCTATGGATGTCAGGATATTTTAGAAGACCCTAAATCCATGTTCTATATCACTTTTTCCTGGTATTAGAGATATTACCAAATAGAACCACAAAATCTTCCCTATTCATATTAAAATCATTTAATTTGTATTCCTCCATATATTTCACTTATTCTTCCTCAGGTTGTAGACCTAAAGTGTGTATTCCTTTTTGCCAAGGCAAGTATAAAGAAACATTAGTAAGCTAGTAAGAATGTTAGATGATTTATATTTGAATTTGAACTTTTCTCTACATATCTATGTATAATTTCAGTCATGGAGATTTAACTGTGTATGTCTTCTCTTCCTTAGGGAAGAAATCCAGTAGTATAAATATAATTTTTTAAATATAAATATAAGTAGTGTAAATATATTTTTTCAGATAAATTTAAATATAACAAAATAAATATGGAATAAAAGTATGACGTGGAAAAGAGATTTAAATGACATGGAAGAGAGCATTTCAAGAATGATGAGCAGAGAAGAGGAAGAAAAAAATGGAAAGTCAGTTATAGAAACGGATGAAATGCCTTAGAGGAAAACACAGAGGCTTGACTGACATATGAAACAAACTAGTTACTAAATGAAATACATTAAAACTAAGAATACTTTAGCACATATGAAAATAAGGAAGAATACTTATTAAATCACACTGTATGAACAGGATAGAAAAAGGTAAATGAATATCAAGAAACAAAAAACAAAAGAGAGTAAGGCATAAAATAGAGAAAAATTGTTCGAACAATATTTTAACTAGTGCTACTTATTCGCTGGTGCCTATATTTGAAAAATATAAGTAAATACTCTTAGTAAATACAGTTGTGTCCCATTTTTATATTAAATACAAAAAATTACAGTAGGATACAGGTAGGAGCAAAAACCATCGATACAATAATTTCCTAATTTAGATGAGACTATCTCATTTCTCTAAGCAGGTGCTGAACAAGTACTAGAACCTAGAGAAAATGAGTCATCTCTTCTCAAATATAATTTCCAACACTGACAAATAGTAAGACACATTATACATCCCTTTAGCTCGAAACTGAGAGGCAAAGAATATATATGTAAGGAAGTGAATGTAACTCATCCCTGAATTCTAATTTATACTAAACTGATGCAAAATATGCATTCTAACTTGTCACAAGTGCACTGTCACTACCAATGTTCATTGAGGTGAACCTGCTTTGGCTGAAAAGCAATTCAGAACCCATCCAGTCTTCCCTACCCCACTGACAAGCTGTTAGGAACACTTTATAGGAGCAAGGATTATTTTTTATAAATATGAGGTGTTAACCTGGTTTTCTGAAATGCTTAGGCACTCAGGCTTTCAAGCTGGAATTAAAAGGTTATAAAAAATAGAAAATAAGGAAAGGCCCCATTAATCATGAAAGTAAAAAATTACTCAAGTGAAAACACTCATGAGCAAAAAATTTTTATCAGTCTTTCTCTTTCTTGGTAAATTGTCAAGCACAAATATGTAATCACTAAGCACTATTTTATTAAATTTATACAGAAGACACTATAAAATTTGGGGGAAATTACAGAGGATACAGCTTTTTCATGTAATAAGCAACTAACATAGCACTCCACTAGGAAGAATTCATTGTTGTTCTTTGTCAATCCATTCACCAAGTACTAGTAACTGCTGGAAAAGATACTAAAAGATGGAGATGCAGGCTGTGTTTAAAACTGGGTCTGGGAGGGAGAGAGAAAACAACAAGAACATGGTAGGAAATGTTCGAGGAAGCACAAGAGAGTCAATGCTTAGAAAGTAGTGGTATGAGGAGGTTGATAGAAGAGGCTTTCTGGAGTAGTAGCTACTTGAAGTCATATTTGAAAGACAAGTGGAACTTGTCAAAATTGAGCAGAGAGGGAAGTAACAACGAAGGCGGAGAGAATGTAAAACATGACATGTTCAGTAACTTCAAGAGATTCAAATGATTGAGTCCAAGCTTGGTTTGGCAAAAGGTATGGAATGAGGGCAGGAGAGATAGGGAAGAGTGATGGGTCAGGCCAAGGGTCTTAAATACGATTCTGAAACATTTAGATTATATTCTCAAAATAATGGAGAGATACTAGAAAATGAGAAGTCAGAGAGTAAAAAGATCACGTAAATGTATATAAACATGATTAAATTATTTCCCTGACACTGAATGGATGATAGTTTACAGGGAGAACAGAAATCACAAACAGAAAGTCTAGTTAAGAGGTAAGAAATGAGATGGACTCAGACTAATTTAGTGGTGGTGGAAGGGATAAAGGAAAAAGAAGGGGAGGCCAAGTAGAAGCAACTAACGCAACAGAAATTCTGAAGGATGGACAATAAGATTTCATGCACTGTTGGGTATAGAAAGTGAATGACAGGAAGAAAGTGGGATGATTCAGGGAGTTTCTCAGGTAGAGGATGATGGGAAATTGTGGCATAGAAAGTAAGTATAGGAGAAATAACAGTTTAAAGGGACATTGACAGGTTCATTTTTATTGGTTCAATTAGAGGTGTTTTGGGGAGACTCAAGTATAAATATACACTAGGCAATTGAATGGCATGGGTTTAGAGCTCTTGAAAGAGAAATCTCCATAGAAATTAAGATCAATGTATAACTCCCGAAGTAGAGTGAAGAGCGAAAGGAAGGAAATAAACAGTAGTTACAACTCTGGAAAGGTACATTTAAAAAACAAACAGAGGAACCTGAGTAGTATAGAAAAAGGAATCCAAGAACAATGGTATCGCAAGAGGCAAAGCAGAGAGAAGTTTCCAAAGAGAAGAAAGAAGTATACAGTCATCAAATAAGGTGAAAAATTTATCCCACCTTATCTTTGAGGAGAATGAAACATGGAGAATGAGGAATCAGTGTTCTTTTTGTTTTTTAATAGAATAGAAGTGAGCCTATTTCTCTGCAAAAAGAGAAAGGCAAGTAGAGAAGCAAATATCAAAGATTCAGGAGAGAACATGAAATTTATTGACAATGATGGGGTACGGGAAATGTCACCCCCAAATAGGGCACCTTGGCGTTTAAGAAAACAGCAAAAGCAGGGAGGTCTTTCTGACCTTCTCCCAGGAAGCAGACAATAAAGCCTAGGAAGGTCACTGTCTGACTTCCCTCCCTTCTACCCTGAAGGCTCTCATGTGGCGAGTGTCCTGCCCTATACCCAAAGGGAAGGAACATCACACAGAGACTCCAAGAGGTACTGAATAAACAAGTCTTGCTAAGTTTCCCTAGTTTATTAGTAGATCATACCCTTTCATGTTCTAATCATACTTCTGCAGTACTGTCCATAAAAACATACAGTTTTCCATAGGTTTTGGGGTCATTTTCTGAAGGTTCCTGTGTCACATAAAACTTAATTCATATGCTTTTCTCTTGTTATTTGTCTTTTATGTTATAGGAGATCTCAGCTGTGAATCTTGCAATAGGTAAGAAATATTTTCTCCCCTACAACTGCCCTTTAAAAGGTTCCAGATATTTTTTCTAGTTTACCCCTCTATTCCAACGTGAGAATGTGGAAGTGAGGGATCAATTAAGAAATAAGTAGAACCAAAGAGAAATCTAATCCATGGGTAGAAGACAGGATACTTCTTCTCTGGAAAATGGAAAGAGAATGTAGATTTGGGGTAAACTGAAATAACTGGAATAACTAGAACAAAAGTTGAGACAGTTTTACCTGCTGCTCTCTATTTCCTTTGTAATGAAGGAGGACCAGTTATCTGTTAAGAG